ATATAATATAATATAATATAATATAATATAATATAATATAATATAATATAATATAATATATCGTTATTTGATTTTAAACAAAAGTTTAATTACCCAGGTTTGAGGTATTCAACAACGAACGATATACTAAGATGCTTTAATGAATGGGGCTAAAGATTGCAAATACCTTTGAGAGAGTCCCTTTTTTCGTTACAACTAGAAAGAATCAAGATTACATAATTTTTATTCATAAACAGAAGAAAAGTTAGGATTAAGCTCCACAGGAATCATTCTTGATTAATCTATACGATTTCTTAAATCTAGAAGCGGAGCACATGTTCTCGTCAAAAACAATTGGATAAGCTCAAGTACTGCCTCCCCCAAGTCGAGCCACCATACGAGAATAAGCCGCCACCAAAAGTGAAGAAAAACCTTCGCTATTTGCCAACATTTTGAATTCTAATCAGGTTTTTTGAAAAAAATAATCTTAAAATTTGTTTTTAGTAGTCGATTCACTTAAGTTCCTCGAGAGACGTATTTTCCTATACCTCAAACCTGGGTAATTAAACTTTTGTTTAAAATCAAATAACGATATATTATATTACATTATAAATAACTAGAAAAAATGAATATGATTAGATTAATATTTTATAATTTAAAGAAATATTTATTCTATAATGATTTTATATAGTTTTATGAAAGTAACTCGACTTTGCTAAACAAGAAATAATAAGTGTTATTATAAAAAAGGTTAAAAAAATCCCATATTGCTTTCTATTTATATTTATATCCTTTTCATATTCAACGACGATTTAAAACATTGAATTTAAATTATTGCTTTGGATTGAATTGAGGTAATTCGATCTATGAAGAAAAACCTTCGCAATTAGCCAACATTTCGAATTCTAATCGGATAATCTTAAAATTTGTCTTTAATCGTCGATTCACTTAAGTTTCTCGAATGAGGTATTTACGTTGATTGCGATGGTTATTATTGTAATAAAAATTAAAATCGCTTCCATATCGCGAAAACAAATGCCGAATAAATATTGCTATTTTAAATTCTAAATTAAATTAAATTAAACTCTACTAAATTCAACTAAATTTAGTTAAATCTATAGGAGATAGAATTGCTCAGTGGGTTGTTGCTCGATTGGAAGCGCGATGCTGAGGTTCGATCCCCCAGGAGTAAACCTATACAAAAATCCGGATGATGCTGGCGACTCATCTGTATTTCTATCGCTAAGGGGCTCCCTGGCATATTGCTCAATGTGAGTTTAACCAGTAATGGTGAGGACTCTTAAAAAAAAATTTTCCTCTACTAAATTCAACCAAATTTAATTAAATATAGTTGTAATTCAGTTGAAAATAGATTTCCTATCGCACGGGTTTCTTTACTAGAATTTTTGATTTTAAATGGTTTGTTAATTGTTTGAAAATTAAGAAACCTCAAGTGCGAGTTATTTAAACTGAATCAAACTAATACTATTATTACCTATTACTACCCAAATATCGATAAATATTATAAATAAATATTATCATAATATATTATTACAATATAAAAATATTATAAATAAATATTATAAAAAGTAGTAAATAATAGTAATAATAAAAAAATTAAAATTCTCTTTCTCACCTTCAAATTCACTTAACCTTACTTTATTTCCTCATCTTTTCGCCTTTCTGCCATCTTCCATCCCAAAGGTGAAAATTAAAGTTAAGTTATAAAAATTAAAGCTTTTAGTAGGTTATTAAGGCGAAGGCTAAGAACTTTTTTTATAGAATGAAGAATTTTAGGTTTTATAAAATTTCATGAAATTTTATATAGATTTATCTAAATAGATTTTATTTATCCTGTGAATAAATTCCTACGCAATAAAATAAATTATATTTGCCGTTTCAATAAAGGAATCAAAACTGATAATATATCTTCGATTTCCCATAGCCACAATTCCCAGTTACAATGGGAAAGACTGGTAAGAATTATCTGAATGTGCATAAAAAATATTTTTTCAAGAGTCCTCATTATTACTGGTTAAATTCGTTCTGCTGGCTTGTCGCACTGGACAAATATGCCAGAGAGTCTTGGGGATAGAATGACAGATGAGTCGCCAGCATCACCCGGATTTTTGGACAGGTTTGTGCCTGCGAGGAATCGAACCTCAGCATTGGCGCTCCCATTTGAGCAACAACCCACTGAGCCATTCTATTCCCATATAATATAATATATTTGTAATCTTTTCATCGAATTTAGCTTTTCATATTTTTTCATATTATGTTCGTATCATATGATAACTTTTGCTTTCATAGTTGTACATATTAATTTATGTCCAAATGTAATAAATATTTAAGCAAAGAATTATCACATCCGTGAATAATTTCGCTACAGAAATTTGTCCGAATTCAAACCCAAAATATTGCTGACAATCCTATTTGCAGTCATTTTACCATTAGCCACCGTCTTATCACGTTTTCGTTGGGTGCAACAGGTGAAAACAAAAATTTTTAAGTCGGATCTTCTTTCGCCTTCGTTATGCCTCCTCTCAGGCAAATCGTTTTTTTCTTGAATCTCTTGTTTTGATCGTTAAACTGAATTAATTCGAAATATGTTTTTGGTTAGCTCATACCCAATAATTTTTATTTGTTTGCCATTTTGCGACACTAAAATCAATGAAAAGGCGAAATATTAATCGGTTGATCTGAAAACTCAATACGTTTGGCACTTTAGAGAAATTTTGACTTAAAAATTAGAGCTCATCTATTTGAATTTGAATAGCAATTTTCTGATCAATGATTTTAAAATTATTCTTAGCTTTAAGCTTTAATAATCAAATTATTAGATTTTTTATAAAATTAAATCGCGATGCTAACTAATATCTCATTTTTATAGCGTTGTGGTTAGACGTGGAAGAAGTGATGGTGACATCGGTGATTCTCAGATATCTTAGCATCGAATCGGGTGGCTTGAAACGCCTTTTCTCTTATTCAGCCGAGTCAATCTAATCAGTAACGGTGTGCGAATTGTTGGAAGAAGAACAAAATAATTATAATTAATAAATATAATTTAATTTCGAATTTTTTAGCTGAGAAATAAAATTTTAGGAAATTTTCTTTTTGAAAATATATATTTTTTAGCGAATTTTAAAAATTTTAATCTTTATAAAAATTTTGTTTAGTAAATTTCAATTATTATTATTGTTATGTTTGGTTTTTTTGTTTTTTAAAACTTTATAAACAAATTAAAATTAACAGAAATTATATTCATTTAAAAAATTATTGTCGCAAATTATTTCATAAATTATTTTTCACGCAAATCTTTTCTTCGATATTACAGTGCGAATTTATTAAAGAAGCGCAATCGCCATCTCGTTCGCAACCTATCGCATAGTCGTATAGTTCGCTTGGATCACTTCTAAAATATCAAACGATCGCATATCGATATCCCTTTTTTTTTCGTAAAATTTTGCCGCTGGCAGTACAAAAACGATTATTTTAAAAACTTTTATAGAGAAAAAATTATTCAAATTTACGACAATTATTTGTAGAATTTATAGAATGAATTAATTTCATTCACTAGTTGAATTTTTTTAGCAAAAATTATAAGCAACATACGTTGGCCAATAATGACAAACGATATCAATTGCCATTCGAAGATTATCATCGACACAACTAGCGAATCCACATCCCAATTCTGTTGCCAAGAATAATCCAATCTAAAATTTTCCGTCATTACTTTTTCATCGAACTCTTTTCGTAGCGAGTTATTCAGCTAAATTTATTATTCAAAATACTTTCAAAATTTAATAATTTTAATGAAATTGATAATATTTATGTAATATTTTATTAAATTTACGTAATTAATGTAATAAAATCTCTTTTGCAAGATGGCTTATAAAAAATTAGCGTATTTGTGGATTAAAATTTGCAAAACTACTATTGAATTCTTCAAAAATATTACATTTTCATCCGATTCATCCATTGGATTGCTCCACCATTTTTGAACGGTCATTGAAAATTCGCGATCTAAATTCCCGTAAAAAAAATTGCCTCAATTATTGCCTATTCAAAAGTTTTATAGAAGTTTTATAAAAACTTTTCTAACGGCAAAAAATTTAACCAAAACAAATCGAAACTTGGCTAAATTATTCATAGTTGAAATGAAATAAAACCTAAAATATAAGTGAGATTATCGAAATCGAATGAATCCATAATTATTCGATGATATTTTCTTGACGATTTTGGCTCTAAAGATTCACATTTTTCAGCATCGCTAAAAGCTTTCTTTTCCAATTCATCACTCCAAGTCTATAAGCTATAAGTGATAAAAATGCGCGATAAAATTGGTGAAAGAAAATTTCAGCTATTTTTTTTATCAAATTTAGATATTTTCTAAGATCAAAATTGGTGGTAAATTAGTGAAGATTATGTGCGAAATCAACTTTAAAAAGCGATAGTCACCAGTTGGAAAAAAAATTCAATTTGTTCACTGTTCATCGCATCCAGAGTTGTGATTCCTTTAAGAATTTGGTTTCTACGTTCTTTATGAGCATTCAAAAATCTTAAACGATGCAAATCGTGTTTGAATCCAATGTATTTCTCTAAAATCCATTTACATTACATTCTACATGTATGTTTTTATTGATTTTCCAAAAGTTTAATTTTTTTAAAATATAAAATTATTGTTTTTAATCTTAAAAATTTTGTGATGAATTTCATTGGCAATTCAATGAGGTCCGACGAATCTATTCGAATATTTTAGAAAGGCCGAAGTGAAAAACATAAGACTATAGTGGAAATGCAATCAGTGATATTAGTTAAATATTGGATAAATTAAAGTTAAATATTGGAAATTTCGGTGATTTCTAGTGATAACCATATCATTACGGTATATCATTACGGTATATTACATTTTTTTATACTCATAATTGAAAGAAATTGTATTTCACTCAGAAATTTGGAGAAATATGGAGATTTTTCTTAATTAAGTTTCAAGAAATCCGAAATCTTTGCTTTGAACGACAAAACAAACCCTCATCTTCATGAGAAGAATTCGTTATCATATCATCGTCTGGCAATTGATAAGGCGTAAAATCTAAGACTTGGAAAAAAAATTAGTTACTTATAATTACTTATTATATAATTACTTATTGACTAAATTAGTTGTTTCTAATCTTGCAATCCCATTTTTTTTGTTACTTAGCTCTTATATCGGAATAATCTAAAAGCGAAATGATAACTGTTAAGATAATTCAGTTCTCATTATAAGAGCTTTTGATTCAATTCAGTTTAGAAATTCACCCAAAAAAATTTACTCGAAATTGAGATAAATTTACCTAAATTGGTAGATTCAGTTATGTTCTTTGGCGAGTATATCGGTTGCAGAAATTCATTAAGCTCAATATCGTCTCCAGTATCACATAGTCGGGTTTCTGTATTGCATGTCGATTTAGCGTAAAGCGTGCAGTCATTTCCATTCTCACAAAATTTGCCTTGTGAATAAAGTGGTCCTTTTGATACTCTGAAATTTTTAAATGATCAATAGAAAAAATAATAATTTTATAAATATTTAGTAAATCATTGAAATTATGGTTCAATGACCATATAGTCTTAAAAAATATCTATTAATCTATTAATCTTTTATTCGGAATTTTTTTGAGCTGAAAACCACAGCAACTATTTGGGATGGATTAGATTAAGGGGGAGGAGGGAGGGAGCGAATATTTAGGTACTATTTCTCCCGACATCCTCAATGATATCTCTTCAAAACTCGTTAGCACCCACTAGCACTTATTTAAATTCTGCGACTTCTTCTAACAACTCTTATCATTACTGGTTAAGCTGGCTCCAATGGCTACAAGCATATTCCCTTGCTAGACGTACTTAATATTTTTTCCTTAATACTCGATTTTTGTACCTCGCCATTTCCCACTATACAATTCTTAACATCCATAATCACCGTCATTTTATCACTTCATAGTGGTTCAAATGCAAGAGATTTTGGTAAAAAATATATGGATGAATGTAATTATTTAGTCTAAGCAGATTTTTCACGAGAGATTTCAGGAGTTATCAAAGAGTTTCTGTGAAAAAAGACTGTGATAAGCTCTATTTTTTTGCCTGATACATGTTATTATAATAAATTTTTATGGAGATTTTGCCATAGCGATCAATAGAGACGAATTTTGAGAAATTGTAACTGAAGGAGAAAAATAAAAGAATATCGAATTTCTCTTATCAGATTCCTCTTATCAGATATTTCTAAAGAATTATTTTAATAGAATAAATTCAACTAAAAAAAGAAAAAAAACAAAAATCACTTTGGCCAATATTCACAAACAACGATTGTTTCCTGACCTTCATTCGTCATTGGGCAACTACTTTTTGCACATCCTATTAATAGCGTTTTACCTGCTAGAATCTGCAAAAATATTATGAAAATATTACTATGTTATTGTAATTTGCTAACGAAAAACTATAATCAATTTAGAAAAAATTTAAATTGGTGTAGAAGAAATTTCGATTTTTCCCTCTATTTTTCATAGCATTTTTTTTAAAAATTTTCTTCCTTTTATTTTTTTTTGCTAAAAATTCCTAATCTTTAATATAATTATAAATAATACAATTATAATTATAATTTTCAATACAATTATAATTATAAAAGGTTTAAAAGTTTAATTTTCATTACTACATTATGTTAATATTATAAAAATTCCAGTTGCAAAAAGAATAAAAAATTCGAAACATAAATTTGCATAAAATCTGCAAAAAACAATTGTAGACTTATAGAATGGCTAAATAGATGTTTACGAAGGAAATATACTTTCTAGCAGAATTAGGTAATATTAAAATATTAAAAAGTAATATTTATAACTAAACTAACCTGTGCAAGAAAAAGCGGAATATTTTTTGCTGTTGTCCAATTGCCAAGTGCCATCGACATCCAATCGTATAAAAAACAATTATTATTATTACTATTGTTATTATTAATAATTATTGTTAATATAATAATTATTATAGATAGAAAATTAATAGAATTAATAGAAAATTATTATTATTGTCATTATTATTATTAATTATTATTAATATAATATATTAATATAATATAATTCAAAACATTCTCTTATAATTTCTTTTCCTTTTATCGATAATAAAATGGAAAAATTGAAATAAAACCAAATAATGCAATTTTAAAATCTTAAAAATCTTGCAATCTTAAAAAAATTATCGCTTTGAAATTTTTAATAAAAAATTTAAAAATTCTCGTTTCAACAGATAGGAAACGAACCGATGTTGGTTCGTAGCGAATTAATCAAGGCAATAATTTAAAAAAATTGTTTCAATAATGGTTATAATGTTTATAATTGACCACCATTCCAATATCTATGAACTTCTTAAAAGTTGAAGAATTTTTTGGCAATGCAACGCTGCTCGATAGAAAAATGCATAAGACGTAAGACGTGAATTTTTTAAGTGCAAACGGCTTATTTCTAATTTTTTCATAGATAAATTATATATAAAAAAATATATAAGAGATATTTTATAAATGGAAATTTTTAGAAATTACATACTGGAAGAATCTGAATTTGAGTTATTGCTACGATATCGGTAAATATTTTCACCGATTGTATCGGCTAAGTGATCGGATATATTGGAAATTGAGCATTCATTATTAGCTCGTTGTTGAGCTAATTTTTCAAGCTGACAATCATATCTCTACAATGAATATTTTTATTAAAATTTATATTATAGCCTTATTTTAATTAGTTGATTTCATAGTTGTTGGCTTGGATAGGCTTCATTCGGCTATTTCTGCTTCTATATTTCCTTTAATTTTCTTTTATGAAATAAAGACCTACTATTCTATACATATTAGAGCCAGAGGGAAAATCATAAATGCCACGAGAAAGATTTGATCGAAGATCATTATGCGACAAGAGAATTCCAAAACGCATGAAGTCTCCCATATTCTCATTATCACAATTCATTTGATCAACATCATTTGCGGTTGAAAAATCTAAAATTACTAATTTTGAATTATTAAGTTAATTAGCCAATATATGATTTGAAAATATCTCTCTAAATATCTCGAAAATTATCATAAAAATGTGATCGTATAAGGAAATAGAAAAATCAAAATTATACTAAATTTATATAAAAAATTAAATATAATTTGGCATATTTCTAGTCGAGAAAATATTAAAAAAATTCATCCTTCAAAATTTCAAACAATAATTCATTTTTGTAATTAAATTGCATGAAGCGGTGTGATTTTGGTTCCACTAGGTTTAGGCTTATGATCGACTTTCTATGAATTTCAATGGCCTCGATTATGGTGACACTAGGAAAAATAAGAAAGGAAATCTGAACAAATCTGTTCTACTGGCAAATAAATCACAAATAGTGAGGAAATAATTCTGTCGCCAAGGGACTCCCTGGCATATTGCTCAATATGACAAGCCAGTGGAGCGAGTTTAACCAATAATGGTGAGGACTCTTAAAAAAAAAATCAAATCACAAGTGATGAATGCAAATGCTAGAAAAAACGAGAAGAGGAATCACTATATTGGACACTATATTGAACAGTTGCTTTATATTTGCAAAATGTATCTAAAATATCAAAATTTTTTAAAATTTAGAAATAAAAAATAATTAGAATTAACTTACAGGGAATGGACGCAAATGTAAGATAAATTATGAGAATATATGAAACGACTTCTAACATAATTCAACAACTGACTAGTTAATTGGATTTGCTTCCAATTTATACAGAAAATTCTATGACGAAAAATTTGCTCATTTTGGTCGATCGTTGGTTACATCGCTAGTAGTTTAGAATAATTCCTCATGGAGCTAAAATTGAAACCATACAATGTAAAGAGGCTTAAATTTATGTCATACAATTTTCGTCATATGAATGATAAATTACGAGCGAATAAGTAAATAGCTTTCTATTTTCGATTATTGCGATTAGATTATCTTCACTACTTCTACTAGCTGTTAATATGATTAGAAAAATTTATCAGAATTTTTTAAAATTTATCAAAATTTAAAAATTTGATTTGTCGTGATCAAACGTAAAGACGTGGCGTCAACACAACCAAGACGATTACGCTTATGTTTTCAGATTGCATGAATTCTTTTATGAATTCTAAAATCGAAACTCTTCCTTTCAATATGAACCCTGAATTGCTATACAACCAACTAATATTCTGCCAATGATTAAAATTTTAAAAATATTTAAAAATATTTTAAAATGTGAAGTATTTTTAAAAATGCAACTTCAATTCCGAGAGTTCAAATCGTTTTATCTATTACATAATTCGGAATTTTTTATCTTTTAATTCGGATGTTTGATTTTTTATATTTCATTAAATATTATCTTTAATCATTTATATTTAATTTTTTTTGTATTTTTATATTTTTTATGTATATTAAAAAGCAACCGAGGTTTTCATTATTTATTATCGTCTATTATAATTCAATATTTACAAAAATTTAAAAGAATTTTAATTTTGCGATTTGCATTTGCTCAACGAAAATCACATATGAATTGGATTTTGAAGAGTAAAAATCGAATGGAAATTTAGGCGAATAATAATTTTTGATTTTAATTATGATAAATTGTAATGGTATTACAATTACAAATCACAGAAAATTATGCATTGCAGAATAAACAACGGAAGACTTAAGAATAGTAATGTTATTGCAAAAGTTTCTAACTTGCACTTATTGTCTCGGATTTAGTTAGTTCCACTAGTTCCATTGGCTACTAGGATAAGACTCTTTAGAGAGAGAATCATCTAGAGATAAAATTAGATTTGTTCCATATTCTTTTAACTAACGATTCTAATTCGTTTCATAGGATAAGAGTCATCTCCAATCGGAACCACATTCATTCCAACGAATAATCCCTGTCAGACTAACTATCCTACATGCATTACCTGAAGGAAGAATATAGTTGTCACGAGAACGATTTGATTGAAGAAAGAATACATATGATAAAACATATTATCTAAGATGATACCTTTCAAATCAAATCTATTCTCTTTGCTATTTTTCTTAGATTTGAAGCCATTTGTTCTAATAAAGATTTCCTAGAATTTTATTTATTTTTATTATAATTTATTTGAATATTTAATATTTAATATTGAATATTTAATATTTAATATTATTGAAATTTCGTATTTTTGCAAAAAGATTCGTAAAAGATTCGCACTAAAATAATTGAAAATTGTATGATTAAATTCTGTTTATTTCAGAAAAAAAAACTTGAGAGTCACTTAGAAAGAAGCGAAACGTAAAAATGGACTCCCCAACAAAAGTGGACTCGCGAAAGGTTTATGCTGATATTGTACTATTTTCAGTAGCAATTATAATTTGTGCCAACTGGTGCTTTGCTCTATTTGGCCATAAAAAAAAGGCTATAGATTAATGTTCTTTTGCAGGACCGATTATATCAATAGAAATTGTCATTGTGCCAAATAGTATGAAAAATAATGAGAATGAAAAATTAAGAATATGTGGACGCATTTATTTCATTCTTGAAATGTGGTATCTAACCTTATCACAAGTTATTATCACCAAATTATCGTATTTAATTAACTGATTCTGAAAATTAACTAATTTGTCGAATTCATGTTTTGTTTTCGAACCTTATTCACGCTATTCACTATTTCCTTTCTCACCCCCTACGAGTGGTCATCCTCAACCTTGGGTCCTCTACCAGAGAGACCTGGAGGATTGAGAATCCTATCTTAGCTATTCCTGGCAGTGCTCTTCTTGATAGAGGTATCTGATGTTGCTGCTGGAATCAGCTGAAGATAAAACTTTTCCTGGCTTCACGATTTAAATAGATTGATTACTGTTTACTTCTGAATATTTAAAAGATTTCGATTCTGTTTATTTTTTTTGTAACTGAATGATACATTAGAAAAATTGGAAAGCATTTTCAGAAATCCAGTTTAGCCAAATTTTTCATAAAATCAAATGCAGTTGCGTGAAAATCCAATATGAAGAGAAGAGAATGATTTGGTACATTTTTATGATCAGCTAAGGCTATCGGTTCTGTTTGCTTAATGTATTTTTGTGCCTTTTTTTACTATACAAATATCAATTGATTATAATCAACACAATATTTCCAAAACATATAAAATTTAATCCAGTTTTTTACACCTTTAATTTTTTAACTTTATTACATTTATGAAAAAATAAAATAGAATAAAATAAAATAAAACAGAATAAGAAAATAAAATAAATTTGAGAGCAATGGAATGAATGCTCGCCTGCGGTAATATTTTAAAAAACACTCGATCCTTATCAGAGTCGCTTTATCAGAGCAGTAATAGCAATATTGCTCACTGCACATATCAATAAAAATTTTATTCTTCAAACTTCAAACTTGAATAATTAAACCATAAAAATAAAATAAAAGAAACGGAAAGAAAAGAAGGAACAATAAAAACGAATTAAGATGAAAAGCAGTATTTATAAAAGGATTATAATAAATATACAAATTTTTTTTTTAGGAGTCTTTACTGGTTAAACTCGCTCCACTGGCTTGTCGCACTGGACAAATATGTCAGAGAATCTCTTGGCGATAGAAATAGAAATGAGTCGCCAGAACCATCCGGATTTTTGTACAGGTTTACTCTTGCGAGGAATCGAGCTTCAGCATCGGCACTCCAAAGTCAGCAGTGACCCACTGAGCCACTCTATCCCCAAATATATAAATATAAATGTACAAATTAATTCCAAAACAAAATAAGTCCATAGTTGTTGATAATAAAAAATTATTACAATATAAAAGTTGGAGCCAATCACATTGGTCCCAGAACAATATAGCAAAATATATTAATATATTATATATTAATTTTAACAATATATTAATTTTTAACAATATATTAACAATATATTAATTTTTTAGATAAATGTGACGCACTTTTAGAAAGAAAATGCAGTTATGAGGGATTTAGAAAGAAAAATAATTAAAATAATTGATAATTCTCTTGGCAAATCGAGGTCACTAAATTCAAATAATAATTTGGAATAAATATCGTATTTCACGGCAATATTATTTCTTTTACACATATATTATAGATTATTTATTTATAATTTAAATTTAAATATTTACTAAAAACAAAATAAACTTCAAAATTTATGAATAAATTTTATTCTTTTTTTATTTATTATTTTTAGTAGTTTATTTTTTTGTGATTAAGACGAAAATGTAGGAAAAATAAAAATATTATATTATACTATATTTTATATTATTAAATACTATATTAAATATTATATTATAATAATATAAAATTATAATAATAAAGATAAAATATAAAATATAAATATATTTTAAAAACCAGTCATCAAAAAACCAAAATAGTCTAAGCTGTAGGATAATCAAATAATTAGATTCGCCATGTTAAAACGAATAATTAAAAAAATTCTGGATAATGCGTCTTATTTCTACCTCTGTCGCTAAATGATATCGCCTGGTAAGAAATTTCTTTCAATCACTTCAATAATCAGCGAAATTAGCCTAACGAAAAATAATAAGCGCTAAACATTTATTTACTTAATGATTCTATTACTGTGTATCTCAATCGACCAATATTCAACAATAAATTACTGATTTGGAGAGATATTTAATCGATAATTGATAAGATATTTAATTGATATTTGATAAGAAATTTGAAGAAAGCTTATCGCTTTTATAAAAAATAAAAAGAAATAAAATTACGACTCATTTATTAGTGTAATTAAATATTTAAGCCGATAATCTATAAAATCTTTTTGTAGCAAATTTTTAATGACGATATTCTCTAATAAAATTTCTATTAAATTTCTAAAATAAAATTTCTATTTCTAAAAAATATGATATTTATTGAAAATATAACATTCATTTTAGCGTAATTATGAATGGAAAAATTTTTTCTCCAATTGTCCATAGAAACGAAATCAATATTGCGCTGAATCATTTATACAAACAATTTTCTTGTTCGCTATTTTTATTATTAAAAAATTTCCTTTCAATAGGCTTATTCGAATTTTTTAAACTGGACTTATTGGCTTGAAATTTAATGAAATAATTCGTCTTTTCATCATTTTTTTATTTTTGCAAAATTTTTCTCATAGTAGCGATTATCATTTCCGATTTGATTATCTACGTCGATTGATTAGAATGATCAAAAATCATATCTGAAATTAGTTTCGCTTTTTTCCCCTCTCCTTTTTCTATCGTTCAAGTCTTTCTTTTGAAGAGTCCGCATCATTATTGGTTAAACGCGCCCCGCTGACTTGTCGCATTGGACAATTATGCCAGGAAGTTCGTTGGCGGTAGAAATACAGGTGAGTAACCATCATCATCCGGATTTTTGGATAGGTTTAGTCCTGCTGGGAATAGAACCTCAGCATCGGCGCTCGAAATTGTGCAATAACCCATTGAGCTGTTTTATACCTATTATTCTGCAAGTAGATGAATCGTATATCTCTTTTAAGTTTTTTGAGAATTTTTTAAGTGCAGATTTCGGCTACTAATTGAAATTACGTTCTTTAGTCGCTCATCTGTCACATTGTTTTTATCGCATTGTTTTTATCCTAAGGTTTCAATTTAATCCCATAAAAATTTATTTTTCTATGTTTAAAAATTTATATTTTATTTTTTATTTCATATCCTTCGATTTTCTTTTGAAAATTTTGAATTAAAAAATATTATATTTTTGCTTCGTTGTTAAAGAATATTATGCAAAATCCATAATTCCGCAATTGTTTTATATAATAATTTTTTAAAATTTTCTATACGATCCTGAAGAATCGCTTATAATTCCAAGTGACCTTCTATCTTATCCTAGTATTATTCACTCGAATGACCTCGAACCTCTTAAAATGAGAGTCGACGCGGTGGCCTCTATGGTTGGTAAATATGACGTTGGAATTTGATGTGTCAAAGAAAGATACCTTCGTTTAAAAATATATGCTTCCGACAACGGAGAAGGCATTTACATATGGAATTTTCCGGGTAACCAACATAGAAATAAGACTTTTATCGCTTTTATTAATACCTTTTATATATATTTTTTAAGAGTGCTCACCATTACTGGTTAAGCTCGCTCTAATGGCTCGGTACTCTGGATGCCAGGAAATCCCTTGGCAATAGAAACACAGAGCCGTCAGCATCATCCAGATTTTTTTACAGGTTTAATCCTGCGGTGAATCGAACATTAGCATCAGCAGTTCCCAATTGAACAACAACATATATATATATATGTTAATATTGACATAGTGAATAGTAATTCTTATTGGTAAAATAAATGCAGTCACTTGTTATTCATTTATACCATTTAGTTTGGTTCAATTTTTAGTTTTGATCCAGTTAAAAGTTCATGGATTTTTTCACAGATCACTTCTTATGATGTGATAAATGCTTAAAACTTAAAGCTTTTTAAACCTAGTGCTAATTGCGTTTAGAAAAATTGCTGCTAGGAATCTACTTGTTGATAGAAATAAAAATAGGTATATCTACATCGGATAACTCATATAACATCATTCTTACTGGGAATAGGAACCAAATCCTTTTTTCTTAGTTCCATAATCAAAACCCATTTTCCATTTGACTATTCTTCCTATAATAGAAATCTATTGGGTAAAAATAACTAAAATATTTCTACTTAGAAATTTCATAAAATAAATATTCATTATTCAAATTTTCTCTCCGCACGATAATCATCCTATCACGGTTTTTATAAATTTGATATGAAAACTTAAATTTACTGCAAAATTTTGTCAAAATTTATCCAACCATGGTACCCTATTATTGTTGAAAAAACATGAAATTTTTACTAGTAAAATTGTTTAACATAAAAATAATCATCTTTTATTTTATCGACTGTATAAAATTTATAAATTTCTGACAAATTTAATTATATAATCGTCTTTGTATTTATGAATTGTATTGAATAATAATGAATATTTCATAATAACTGGTTTTCCAATAGATTATCAGTTGCTTATGGTAAAAAGTTTCGAAAAAAATTTGAATTTTCGCTAATCATTGAGTCCTATTAACCGAGTTTATTATAAGAATATAAGAGGAAGAAAACGTTTGATTCCGAAATTTAGTTGATAGTAGAAAAGTTAAAATTTGTATGATATAAAAGAATATAGCATTAATTGAATTGAATAGCACTAAGGACTCAGTTGTAGATCATCTTTTTCCAAATGCAGATATTTGATAAAGTACAAGAAATTCTTATGTGGTGTAAGCAAGTGAAATAAGATAAGCCTTAATTAGAAAAGATAAAAGTTAACCATCTGCTTATCAAAGAGTAGAACGAATAGCTCAGTGGGTTGTTGCTCAATTCTGAGTGCCGATGCTGAGGTCCTATTCCCCACAGGTATAAATCCAAGTGATGCTGGCCTCACTTGTATTTCTATCGCCAAGGGACTCCCTAGCATATGTCCTGAGTGAAAAGCCAATGGAGCGAGTATTACCAGTAATACCAAGGATTCTTTTAAAAAAATTCACCTACTTAATACCGTCATATTTGTTTATTAAAAATTATGTAAATTACTTAATATATGGAACTGGTGAGGATTTTTGGTGGTTATTACAATATTTTTAATGGCGTCTTCGATTCGATTTTATATTGCGATAATCATCATAAAAACTTATAAAAATTGTTTAACATAAAAATAATCATCTTTTATTTTATCGTCGTTTTCGAGATGTTTAATAATTTGTGGTAGAATGGGAGAGGATGGCTAAGTTGGTATTTTCTGTTTATCAGATGTATTATTAGATGTATTCTCAAGGATACGGCTTCTCCGACAGAATAAACCTCTTTTCGTAAAAACTTGTCGGGCTTGCGATCCATCTGCGCTTCTATCGCTATGAGACTGCTTGAGAAAAATTTCCAATTATATTAACAATCAACTTGGCTGTTGCGTTAATCCCAACTAATGATAACCGCGAACCACTTATTTATTTTTAGTTATTTTTCAATTTTGAACCATTTTTGCTAATTTCATTTATTTCAAAATTTCTTTTCTATTATTTTGCATAATAAAAAATTTTAAATTTATTAAATCTTCACAGCGCAAAAACGATTTAAAAAATTAATTTCGCGATTTTTATTAAATTTATATAAAATTTATATAGAATTTCTTTTTAAAAATTCTTGAATTCGCCAACTCTTTTCATTTGATTAAATAAATTTTATTACCATAATTATTATATCAAGGTAATCTCTTCCTTATCCCTTGTCGATGGTGTAGATCTCCTCAACCTCATATCCTTTACCTGAGGCTTATTCCTAATAATGCTCTATTCTGCGCAGAGATCTCTGATATTTTCTGCCACTTATCAAAATCATTTTTTCAGTTTAGAAATTGCTAGTGTCCCTAGTGCATTTGGACTATTTTGACCTTAAATTATCGAACAACTACGTTCAAATAAACTCACCACACTATTAAAAAATATAGATGCATTTTTGGATCCATTTTTTTATGCCTTTCCTTAAATTTTGTCTTTAACAAAAATTTCCTATCAACAATTAGAATAGGAAACCAGGAATGGTGAATACTAACAATATAATTACGTGTATAAAATCTATGTACATTACAAATATTCGTTCTTATTACCCTTTTGACCACAAATGTCAACCTTGTTTTCCTTATTTTTAAATATATAAATAAATAAAATATAAATTTTTTAAGGCAAAATTCGGTTATATAAATATTATATAAATGGATACTCCAGGATTCGCAATATAAATTATTTCATAAATTATTACAAATTCATTATTCAACAATATTTTTGATTGAATTATATATTTTTATATATATATATATTAAAATACAATAAATGATACGCGATCGTTCAAGTGAATTTCGGGTTAGTATTTCTATATTTATTTGCTCTTTGGCGAGAAAGAAAATTTTAATGAAGATTTCCTCATATTACCTCAGTATTTAGCACTTCGAATCGAGCAGTAACCCATTCTAAGCCATTCTATTCTGTTTTGTTTTTCTCCGTCACTGGCGACACTACGTTAGATGACATTGTCGCCCGACGAAGAGTGCTGGATCTTCAATAAAATTTACACAAAAGTACCGCACTATAGTAACTTAGTTCACCTAAATAAAACTAAATTTTTATCGATAATTTTAAAAGTTTAGTTCCATCAAAATAGTTTATATAAATATAAATTGCTGGATTTGAATTTAGCATCTAACATGAATTTATTTATCCACTATATTTATTCAGAATGCTAACGATTTTTTAGCGAAAAGTTGTCGCAAATGCAGAAGATGTACTCAGCGATCGTAAAGTTAATGGTACTCCTGAACCGATTCTACCATCAAATTTATTTTTTGTTGAAGTTGACGAAGTGCGAAAATTGATCATTAATCTTGCGAATGATGTTGCGGAATTAGAGGTCGAACAATCAAATATTTTAGCAAAAACAATGATCGAAGAATCTCAAAAGGTTTTTTATATATTGAAATGATGAAAAAAAAGAATGATAAAAAAATGATTAAATAATTAAATTAAAAATACAATTGAATTTAGAATATAGCAAAGACAAAAGTGAATAATAGCCAATCCTAAAATTTTTTAAAATCTTTTAAAATTTATAAAATTTAAAATATAAAATTTATAATTATCCTAAATTTTTTCTAAAATTCCAACGTAGCCTTTAAGATCGACAGTCATTCGTTGGATAATTTTTTTTTTAAAGTCCTCACCATTACTGGTTAAACCGCTTCACTTGTCGCACTGTGCGATATGCCAGAGAGTCCCTTGGCGATAGAAATACAGATGACTCGCCAACACAACCAGGATTTTTATACGGTTTTACTCCTGCGGGAAATCGAGCCTCAGCATCGGTGCTCTCAATTGAGCAACAACCCACTGAGCCATTCTATCATTATTTTCATTTAAATCACAACTAAGCAAAAAGCATTGAAGTATTTTCAGGAAAGACTGGATGAATTAATTTCAGCAATACGCCATCGAGAAAGACTCCTTAAGCCAAAATTATTAAAAATGAAGGCTGATTTAGAAAAAGATAAAAAAAATATAAAATATTGTCATGCGGAGGATATTGACTTGCGAATGCGAAAGCATCATATAGAAGTACTTGTAAAAAAGCTTTATGATGTTCTAGAAAATTTCGCTGCCGCACAAGAAGATTATCGAAAACGTGCCACAAGTAAGACAATTATTTTTATTTTTCAATTTTTATTTTATTTAAAATTGCTAAGAAAAATATATCGAAAATTATGCTGAATTTCAATAAAATAGTCTAATTTCGAACCATCGTCAATTCGAATTTTGCATTGAATTCAACTAATTTTTAATTCGCGAAAAAAATTTAAAATAATTTTTGCTTAAATATTTGAAATGGAAATTTTAGAACGAATTAAACGACAATTAGAACTGGCTGGCGAACAGTTAACTGATACCGAAATTAACGAACTTTTTGATTCAAATATTACTCAAATATATAATCGGTGATTTTTTTCTGTATTATACCAAAATATTTAAACATTTATTATATTTATTACATTTAATACATAGAAAATATTTATTATGGACAATTATCATTAATGATAACGTTTCCTAGAAAATTTGCTATGAAATCTGCAGCTATGAAAATTAAAAAGCACATTTATTAGAATACATAGAAAGAAAAACTTCATGTTCATCGATGTTCCTAATTGTATAAAATTTTCTCGTAGCTGAATAGGGCTCAATCCAGTGGCTATTTCTATCTAACCGGATTAAGAAATCCAGACGTTGCTCGGAGCCCATCAGTATTTCTATAGGTGATACATAATAATATTAATTAATATTATTAATATTATTAATATAGTATTTCTATATTTCTTATTGGCAAAAAATTTCGTCGAACTAACGGATTCTATGCTTGAAAAGATAATTGTTTGAGTAATAAAGTATTTAATATTTAGTAATACGCTTAATAATTAACGCCTATTTCGAACTATCTAAATTTCAGTGGTGAAGCGTTATCATAATCATTTCATTATTATCATCATTTTTTGGATTTTGGCTAAAAATAATAAGCAGTTTCAAATAAATTTTATCAATAAAAGTGATAAATTTTAGGGATTTAACTACGGTTGCCATGAGGTCAGTAATGGATGACGCTAGTTCAAGGCAAAAGGAAATCCTCAAACTCGAGGAAAGCATCTCAGAATTAAATGATTTATACAATGATATGGCAATACTTTTGCAGCAACAGGTAGATTTATTCTCGTATTTTCATAACTGCAGCACTCGATCTATTTATATTTATATTAATTAATTATTAAAATATTTTCGCCTTTTATCACCACTCACCATTATTCGTTGGGCTTGTTCTGCTCGAATAATTTGCAAAAAAATCTCTTGAGCCGTGGATGATATCCACCGCCTTATACGAATTTCATTTTTTTACAGCAAGTTTAAGTGATTTCGAAACAGTGTTACTTGACACAGCAAATATTCCATCCGATCAACTCCATCAATTAGTTAAATTTTCTTATTTACCTGAGAGTTTTTTTCAGTTTCCGGATAAATAATAAAAAATAGTTGTAAATTGATACTAATAAAATCAATTTCTGTTCTGTTCTGTTTAGAACTATTTCTGCAAATTAATATTCCCGAGGTTCTATTCCCCGTAGGAGTAAGTCAACCTGTCATTCAAAAATCCAGGTGGCTCAATTGCATTTCCAACAGACTACCTAGTACATTTGTCTATCGCGACAGGCAAGTGCAAGTGGATTTAGTTGGCTGTACCCTCATAATCCTATCATTGCTTTATCAATCTTATCATAAAAAATTAAATAATAATATTGACGTCATTTCTATCCGGATTTAAAAATTTCTCTGGTGGAAGTCAGTAAGAACCAACCGAACCAGAAATGTGTGTAGGAAAGAGGAAAACGTGTTCACCATTTTGCATTAAAATTTTTGCTAATCTTTTTTTCTCACTTTTTAAGCATCGTTATTATCGAATTGATTTCAGGGTGAATTGGTTGAAAATATTGATAGAAATGTTGAAGAAGCAACATATTATTTGCATGAAGGAAATCAACAAGCCCGCATCGCTATTTCTTATAAAAAAGGTGCTATAAGGAAGAAAATATTTATCATAATCGTTATCACCGTTATTTTAGTGATTATTATCATTGCTTTATTGATTTATTTTTTAATTCGCAAAAATTAAAATATATTAAAATAAAAAATAATTATAAAAAAACAATTGTTTTTCTTTGTACAAAATAAGATATTTAAAAGAATCCAACCAATAATAGTAAATCTTTTTTTGACATCTGTCAAAAACAATTATTTAAAAAAGATTTATTTGAAAAGTTTAATAAAAAAATCTCTGATCTCTGCCAAACTGAATAAAATAGAAATTCGAAACCTTAAATCTCTAAAACTCAATTGTTAATAACAACTTAATTATTGACAAATTATGAAATTTTTAAAAATTTGAAATTTTTAGCAAATCTAACATAAAATTTTTAATATCCAACAATAAAATAAAGTTTATGATAAAATGATAAATGATAAAGAAATTATCTGAGAAGAGAATTTCCATCAAATTATAGAATTCATATAAAAATTTTGCAGACGCCGATCTTCAAATATTTTGAATCTAATTTTTTAAATTTAATTTTGCTTTTTCGAATTTCCAAGGAAATTTCATAAAATATGCAAAATAATTTAGAAAGAGCTATAAATTTCAATGAAATACAAATTTATACGCTGTTTAGCATTTTAACGTTGTTTAGCGATGATTTTATTGCTCTAATTTTTCTTCTGCTTTTGAGTTTCATTAAATAATTTTTTTGAACGCTGCGAATTTATATCAAATGCAGTCAATTTTTTTCATCTAACAGACTATTTTATTGCACCGAATTTATTCAGTAGAAATTCATTTATATTTATTTTTCAATTTATTTTAATAATAATTGGATTTAAAAATGAAAATTTGCCAATTAAAATCTTTCTAAAACCCCGCCAAATTGCTTAAATTGCTAAAAACATTGCCAAAAATATCAAATTGATAAGTACAATTTGAAATGGTTAAAATTTTTAATATTTGTTAATTTTATTTATTTCCTTTATCATTCAAAAAAATGTATAAAAATATTTGTATTTGATTCGCGATGAGTTGTTTTAAGCGATTAGCTGCTTCAATATTTGTCGATTGTATTAAAATAACCAATAATTTTCGCCTTTCATTTTACCCATTTTAACCGCTTAATTGAAAATAAAGTACCATATAACAATGAAATTAGTTTGCGATCTTTTTAGTGGTTTTAGCCATGCAACACTTCTTATAGCAGTAAGCACTCATTTTGGCTTGTTTGGTTTCATTTTCATTAATTTTTCGTAAAACAGTCGCATAATCTGATAAAATCCCATCCCCAGATCCACAACACCAGACAGCACCTAAAGGTGACGAAATTTCACTAATACAATATATATTATGCAAGCAGAGAAGAAAAAAGTTTAACATAGGTTTGATTGCTGGCTCTCAATTGCTATTATTATTAAAATCGAAGTAATCGAGGTACGATTTACCAATGCTTCTATTTTCAAGCTTTAGATTTTCTAGCGAAAATCTGAGCCAGACAAACCAGAAATGCTACTTTAAAAATACACTTAAATTTGAATCGTAGAGAATTTTACTTAACAAAGGACATATCTATAATATAATACTGTAATACTGTAATTCTGCTTGCAAATAATTTTTTTTAAAGTGTCAGTTACAATTGTCAATATTTTTTACCATCAAAGGGAAAAATATGATCAAATGAGCGCTATACCGGTATTATTTTTCACTAGAGAATCACTTAGGAATAAAAATAGCAAAGATAGGTACTCGGATTTCATCCAGCCTATTACTATTTAAAGACAAGGAATCGAATCCAGGATGCTTGATTCCGACAACAATTCACTATTTATTGAATATTCTATTTCAAAAAAAATATATATATATATATTAAATGCGAAATCATTATACTTTGCCGGTAAAATTTCTTGTTTATCTTTTTTTTGAAAAAAATTTCTTCCAGAAAAGAATTTGTATTTTTCAATAGGGCTTATTTTTTAAAAGATCCAAAGCAAGAAAAAGATCCGAAAAAGGAATCGCTACTTTATGATTTGTGACAGGATAATCGACAGACAAGAGTTGAAAAAATCCGTGTTATGCGTGGGCCGATGGCCTAGCAGCATTTCATGCTTTATTTGGCTTCACGGCGAAAATTTCTAACATATCTAGTCTAATCAGAAATAACGAATGAATATTTATTTACTTATTAATTTCCTTTTAAAATATTATTGAAAATATAAAAATAATTCTGTTCATTCGGTCGGAATTTAGAAAGGGCCAAAATTTTTTAAAATATTTCTTTATGATTAAATTGAAAATTAGGTTTTTTAAAAATATAATTTATGCTAGTGGAATCCAGCACTCAACTATTTTATTTACCTCAAAATCGAATTAAACTCACTTTTTTTTTCGTAATAGTGAAAAATTTCAAAAACTGGAAATAATGAAATAAATATTTCTAGAAACGAGTTTTTTTCGATAATTTTATAGATTTTTTTGAAATTTTCATTGAAAATTTCTGAAAAAATTTCTTTAAATTTGGATAAATTGGATATAAATTGAATAATTTTCGTAATACTAATCTTTTATAAATTTGTAAAGGATATAAATTATATATTTTTTTAAATATTTTTAAATAAAATATAACTTTGATAAAAATTTTAAAATTTTTATTGATAATTTTTCGCGATAGTTCAACTTCGAAAATTTCTGCCTACTTCACATTAGTTTTGTTTTTCAATTCACTCATCAATACATCTTTATGAACGCAAATCCATTATAACTTTTGATAATGATATCTCATTCCGAGATTTATCAATAGATTTTATCAATAGATTAATTGTCTTCTATATTACGAAAATAAATCCTTAAGATTTTCGTTTTCTGGAAGATTCTCAAAGCGATTCTTTTGTGATTTTACTTTTATAGTCATCTTCAGTAAGAGCTAGTTTTTTTTAAGAGTAATCACCATTACTGGTTAGACTCGTTCCACTGGCACGTCGCACTATTCTAGGGAGTCTTGCCTCTCGATGAGCCAGCATCATCCGGATTTTTAACGGGTTTACTAAGCTGTATAACCTCAGCCTTGGAGCTCCGAACTAAGCAGCAACCCACTGAGCCTTTCTATTTTTTTTTCTTTGCTTTTCTCCATTAGGCAACAACATCAACAGACGAACAGCGAGATATATTCAGAAGAGATATGTTCAGGATTCGAACCTTCAATCCTCGATTCTTAGTGATATTTATTTTATCATTGGATCATCTAGAAGTAAATAACGGAGTAAATAAATCTCTAAACATATATTCGTAAACATATATACTTAATATTCATTTATTTAAGAAAAACTTATTATTATCATCGACACCACGATCCACAAACAATCAATTATAAAATTGCCTTTGAAAACCGGATTGCCATTTTTATACAGTTAGGCGGTATATTTCATTAAAAATAAATTGGTCAACCAAGTTATTCTTTTTAAAGTTTTTTTTTTGTGAATGACATCGTTTAGCAATTCAACATCGCGATTAATACTACCAAAACGACAAGAAAATACTAAAAATGAGTCCGCTGAATCGTTTAAATTTGCTAGTACCGAAGGACGTTTCACTATTCTGGATGAGAGGTAAATTTTTTCATATAGAAAAATTCTTGAAAAAAAAAAAATTTATATGAAAGTCATAAAATTTCTAGTTGTTCCAGTTTTTTATTCAATTGCTACAGTAGAATTCTAGCGCTGGCGCCATTAACCTAGAAGAACATTTCTATTGCCAATTATTATTATTCTTTGATAAAATTTTCAATAATTTTGACAACCAATAGAATTAATCTAACCTGAAATGGGAAACGGTTAAGCACGGTTAAACTCTTTTTTCTTGTAGCAAAGTCGATTTTTCTTTATGCCAATTATGCATTTCAGTTATTCGCTTAATATACCTTTGATAAAAAATTTTTTAAATTAACAATCTCAACTATTATCAGTCTTAATTATCAGCCGATTCAGCGAATTGAATTATTTAAGGAATAATTAAATTTCATGGTAAATTTTCGCTATAAATTATGGATAATTTATAATTTGCTTATTTTTAGGTAAATTTTAGTAAAATATGCCTTTACAGTTCCAATTTTATGCATTTAATATCTTTGCAGCTGATAATTTTCGTTTTTGACAAAAAAACAAAAAGTTTTTTTAAACGATTTTTGATTTTATTTTTTTCTAAACTTTTTTCCAGTAATTTAAAATACTTGTTTTTTTAAATATTGTAAAAACTATGAAATGAAGAAAAGAAGATTTTATTTTTATTGCCGCTATATTACACAATACAAGGAAACATAGTGAAAGCAAGTGCCATGTGTGCCAAGATTGATAAAATTATCATTTAATTGTCTTCAAAATTTCGCTTTTTTGATAAATCTTTAATAGAATTGTTAAATTTTCAGTGTTTAATTTACTCAACTGATATAGATTTCTCTTCGGCAATTGGCCTCCAGGTCCGATATCTTATCTAAAGATAAATGAGTTTTTATAATTTTGGTCCGTCGAAATTTTCTTTTTTTTTACCTTGTCAATTCAACTCCTGAAGGCTGTCATTTGTATTTGAAGCTATCCACCAAAAGATTTGGCACGGAATGAGAAACATGTGAATTTGTATCGTGCATGACAAAAAACATAGAGCATAATGATGCTTTTTGACGATATTATCTGATTTTATAAAATTTGAAAATTTTAAAAATAATGAAGATCGTTGATGCCTCAAATGTTGAATAATAATCGAAATCAAATCACTGAGCATTCGAATAGAAAGATAAAATATTTGTCGCTCCCATAATGCCTTTTTTGATAATCATTGCCATATTTTCGTAAATATTAAATTGGTTAAAATTTTCAGAAGAACGTATTTTCGTCATTATTCCTATTTTTTTAAAATCTTAAAATTAAATTCTTTATTTTTCATCTAAAAATTTTCGTTATTTCCAAAGAAATTAGAAAGAATTTCAAGCTAAAATCTTTTATATTATAAAAATAAAATCGCTTTGTATATATTATATTATTTTCTTGAAATTTTACCATCAATTCAAATCAAATCAAAATTTTACAAAT